AAGCACTGTAAAAAGCCAAGAGCTCTTACCGTTAGCAGAATAATGCTTGGTGGTTTCATGGGGTACTCTGGTGGCAGCACTATTCGTCCATGATAAACTCCTCCATCAAAATCGGAATCTGGGGGCCCTCTAACTGTGAAGTGCCATTCAAATAAGTTATCCTAAACAAAAACAAGAATTACCATTTTTATTAAAAGTATCAGGTGAAGTGACTCAAATGCTACCTATTAGTGCTATAATAATCTCTTATGCTCAAAATGCCTCAAAAGTCATTCATAAAAAGGTGCTATTTAATATAAATCTTGTTTCATAGAAGATAAAATATTTTTAAATCAAATATTAATTTGATCTAAAATTTAAATTTAAAAATTAAAAATTGGCCGGGCGTTGGTGGCACGCGCCTTTAATCCCAGAACTTGGGAGGCAGAGGCAGGTGGCTCTCTGTGAGTTCGAGACCAGCCACAGAGAAACCCTGTCTCGAAAAACCAAAAAAAAAAAAAATAATAATAATAAATTAAAAATTGTAAGTCCTATTATATATTCATAAATAAGATTCATTTAATTAAATGGAAATTAATGCCTCAAAAATATCAATTAGTGGAAACAGTCAAGTCATTAGCATAAGTTTCACTATGAATAACTTCATTGTGTATAACTAGTTAGTAATATTAACAGACTGGCTATATGTCATTATACAGTTACCAAGTTAGTTTTCAAATTGCAAAGTTCTTACACATCACATTATGTCTTCACCATTACCAGGAGAACCTGACTATGCACAGTCAGCATTTTCCTTTCACAGCCAGAGATAGGTAGAGATGCTTATGTCAAAGCCTAGAGCGGCTGCAGAGACCCCTGAAGGGCCTGAGTCTTAACAGTGCAGTGTACGGGGGTTCTTTCTCTCTCCCTCCGTCCCTCCGTCCCTCCCTCCCTCCCTCCCTCCCTCCAACTTTCCATCCCACCCTCCACACTGAACACCAAGTTAGTGCCTAAATCGGGCTGCCTTAGGAGCTGGACAAAAGGCTAACAAAGCACTCATGAAACAGAATAAAGCAGATCAATAAGCAACCACAAACGTATCAACAGCTCAGAGCAATGGAAGTGTAGTTCTGAGTTGTCTTAGGCACTGAACTACTGCAGTCCTCAGGACAGAGACAGAAACTAACCTCCAGAGGCTGGGCGTGGTAATGATCTGTTGGATCTTTCAATTCTGCAGCTTCTTTCATCAATCGTTTAACAGCTAAAAGAAAATTCACAAAAATGAAGATATTTAAAAACATACTTTTCCAAGTGATCAGCACAGGCTAATAACCTTTCTAGTCGGGTGTGGTATCAGCTCGCCTTTAATCCCAGCACTCAGGTGGTAGAGGCAGGTGGATCTCTGAGTTTGAGGCAAGCCTGGTCTACATAGAGCAGACAGAAGAAAGCAGAGGCCAGGTGTCTGCCCTTGAAAGAAAATCAGGTAGCTTTAAAAACAAGCAAAGAAAAAGCAGGTGGCTCTACAGACGGGTAGGAACAGGGGGAGGAGATAAAGTGAACTGTACAAAGAGTAGGTCAGAGTGTGGTAGAGACATGCTGTCGGAAAGCAACTCCCACACAGAACCAGATCAATCTGGTGCTGCTTTTCATACTATTTCATTTGAGTCTAGTGCTGTTTGTAAACCCAGCACTACTGTGGTAAGACAAGACAAGGTGGAGACAAGAAAAGCAGCTAGAAGCATGCAAGCCAACTACAGTACACAGCAGAAACAGCAAGTAAGAGTACACATCAACAAAATGGAAGCAAGAACTAATTCAGTAAGGCTGTCCTCTGACCTCCACACATTCACCTTGGCACATGCATACCTGCACATACAATAATACTACTAATAATGATGATAATAGTAATGTCTTAGCTAGGGTTTCTACTGCTGTAATGAAACACCATAACTAAAAAGCAAATTGGGGAGGAAAGGGTTTATTCGGCGTACACTTCCACATTGCTGTTCATCACCAAAGGAAGTCAGTACAAGAACTCAAGGAGGGCAGGAACCTTGAGGCAGGAGCTGATGCAGAGGCCATGGAGGAGTGCTGCTTATTGGTGTGCTCCACCTGCTTCCTTACAGAACCTAGGACCACCAGCTCAGGGATGGCACCACCTACCATGGGCTACCCCACTCCCCAACTGATCACTAGTTAAGAAAATGCCTTGCAGCTGGATTTCATGGAGGCATTTTCTCAATTGAGACTCCTTCCTGTCTGATGACTCTTGCTTGTGTCAAGTTGACACAAAACCAGTCAATACAAATATAATAACTTTTAAGGAAAAGGACTGAAGTCCTCGTGTATCACTTTTCCTGTTACGATAATAAAATACCCTGACAAAAGCAATTTAAAGAAGGGCTTATCCTCGTTCACAAGGTACATACAGTTCTTCATGGTAGGGAAATCATGCAGCAACTGGCTGGTTACACTACATCCACAGTCAGGAAACAGATGAGTGCTAGAATTCAGCTCATATTTACTTTTTATATCAATCCAGAACCCTAGACCATGGAATGGTGCCTCCCACAGTCAAGGTTAACCTAAATCTATATAATTCCTCACAGGAAATGCTCAGAGTTCCATCTCCAAGGTATTCCAGATATTGTCAGGCTGACAACCCAATATTATGGTGGTGAATTTCAACTGTCAATTTTGTGAGATACAGAATTGCCTGGGAGATAAGCCAGGAGATTATCTTCACCTGATCTGATTGTTAAAGTGGAAAGACCCACCCACTGTGAATGGCAACATTCCCTAAGCTAAGATCCTGTACTCTGTGTGTGCACGCACGTGCGCACTTGTGTGTAACTAACTCTGGGCTCTATTGACTGCTGTTACTGCTATGATACTGGAGTTACTTCTGAGACACAGTCAACTTGAGAAAGTGATTAAATTTTTGTTTTAATGGATCAGGTGACAACACCTCCCACCACAAAGGGTAGAGGTGAGGAAGCTGAACAAGAAATTGATGCTTCCAGTGCTGAGCATATCTCAGTAATAACTAGTTTGCCTAGCAAGCTCAAGGCTTTGGGTTGGTTTGTGAAGGGCGGCAGCTCCCTCCCTGAGTGCTGTGAATCCATGGGAATATAAAAGTTTGAAGAAGGTGAGGATATCAAGGAAGGGTTTTTTTTTGTTGTTGTTGTTGTTTTTGTTTTGTTTTTGTCTATGGAAATCTGTAGCAATGTTCAATCACTACAGTTCTATGCATCTCCAAATGAGATGGGTCTGGGTAGAATGAGAAGTCTAACTCTCAAGAGGCTTCAGTTGACACCAACAGAAAGAACCAGGATAATTCCCAGGTTTCTGGTAGAGACATAATATCTCTACAAACTGAACAAAGTTACCATCTACACAATACAACACTAACCATTATCTCTATTGTCTTCTTAAATTTTCTCACCCAGATAATCCAACACCAGCAAATAGGAAATGACATGATTAGATTACTTCCTTTCACATAGTCATTAATCTACAAATAGCAAAGGTTTGAGACTAAAACAAAGTAAGTGTTATCACCAGGCTTCTCAGCATTTTAACAACTGGAAATCGTCTACACCAATAGGAGAGATTTTTTTAAACTTTCTTTTTAGAATACCATCGTCTTTGAGGAAACCAAAAAGAGGATGGAATTTATAAAAAGATACAAAAGTCATCCAAAACTCAACATACTTTGAAAATTAACTCATTATGTAGATCAGGCTGGACCTCACAGAGATCTGCCTTCCCCTGCCTCCCAAATGCTAGAATTAAAAGCACATACCACCATATCCAGCTAAAAATGTATTCATCTCTAAAGTTGCTTTAATTTTATCATAATCTTAAGTACGATAACCTATCAAGATTGAGCAATTTGGGGCTGGAGAGATGGCTCAGAAGTTAAAAGCACTGGCTGCTTTTCCAGAGGACCCTGGTTCAATTCCCAGCAACTACATGGCAGTGCACAACTGTCTGTGACTCCAGTTCCAGGGGATCTGACACCCTCACACAGACATACATGTAAACAAAACACCAATGCACATAAAAATAAGCCAATAAGAAATAAAGAAATCATTAAAAAAAAGAGGGATCAAGCAATTTCCTGACATTTCATGAGACATTATTCTTTGGACATTGGTCCAAGTACGTTTATGACTAATGAAGTACTGTACAATTTACCACACACTTTTGTTTTTAAAGTCCAACTAATTCAACCATTCTGGCGTCAAAATGGTAAAATGCAAGCATTTCTACTTTCTCTGACTCTTAATTCTTCAGGTTTTTAAGTGATGGGCTGAAGACAGAGAATGTGGTCCCATTAAAATCCATCTGTGTAAATGTCATTCTTGCACAGGCATAGCCAATTTTTAAACGAATCTCCTAAAATATGATGGATTCTACATCCTGCCCCCTAAGGACACTTACTTGACAGTATTCAAGCTAACAACATGCTGTTCAGTCAATATCCTCAGGCTTTGCATTTCTATATTCTCTACTTTTTTTAAAAGGAAGATTCAGAACATCCCATATGGATGTTAGACTTAAAAGTCCAAACTAAGAAACAGTGTGGGGGAAAATAAACAAAAATAAAAACAGCGGCAAGAGTTCGATGATCATCAATACCATGGAGTTTACTATTCAGAGCTAACAGGGAGTTTCTTCTCCTGGCAAGTTATCAAGGGACATTTATAATAAATAGAATTTATAAAATCCAGTAATTCATGCCAAACCTGCCTTAATATTAGACAACTGATTGTGGGTTTTTGTTTGTTTTTGCATTGTTTTTAACGCACCAGAAAATAACTGGAGGCCGGGATGGTCAGGGACATTAAATGGAAGGAAAGAAATTCTCTGCGTGAATTCAGATGTATTAGCAGTCCACCCCCCAAATCGTGGTTAATTCTCAAGTACACAGCTCAACTAGTTTGGAGGACATTTTCGTTATGTCTATAATTCTATTCGC